ACATAACATGACATTACATACAAGTCTTGACATACATAACATAACATAACTTAACAAAACATAACATAACACAATAAAACATATATTTCATTACATTACGTTACATAAAATGCACAACATACATAACATAACAGAACATAAATAACATTCATTTCATTGCATCACATATCATAACATACATACCATAACATAACATAACATCACATCACATCACATACAAAACATAGATACACATCTCTGAAAACCCTAGCCTGGGGTTGACGCTTCAGTGCGCGAATTGTCACACAGCGTCTTTTGAAATCGAATTTTTGTTTCTCAACCACAGGATCTCTGTGATCCTGCAGCAAAGGATGTGGGTGAGGATAACCGCCACCCACACCCATGTGGGTCCAGTCTTAAGTAAATGTTGAGTCCAAGCTTCCCAGAGCTTCCCTGGCAAGCTCGCAGCCTGACCCGTCTTGGTCTGGGCACGGCGACGAGGCATATGGAGAATTTCCAAAGTAGTCAGTTGTAAATGGTTTTCGAACACTTTGAGCCAACGCTCTCAACGGCACGTCGCTTTTTCCCAAAACTCCATTGCTTTGCCAAGATTTACCATACTGTTTGGAACAACAAGGATCAAATCATTGCAAGCAGCCAAAAAAAAAAACTTGCTTTTTCCACCTGATTTACGGGGATGTCGCCAAATTTAGGCCACCGTTGACAACTATCACATATCATCTTTTTCACCTACCTTCCCCTTTAGCGACCCCCCAAGTAGTGATTGTTGACGCGATGATCCACTTGATTATAACGATTATCTATGATATAGATAGGCAGGCGCAATACATCAATGAGTGGCAGGCGCAACATCTTTAGAACTTAAGACAAGTCACGTGGCAGGCGCAGTACATCAATGAGTGGCAGGCGCAACATCTTAAGAACTTAAGACAAGTCACGTGGCAGGCGCAGTACATCAATGAAGTCACGTGGCAGGCGCAACATTGGCTGAACCGTGCCAAGCCGCAACATATTTTGGCAACATGTTCCATCAAAATGTCCTTTAAAAGGATGCTCCAAACATCCATGCATGTGCATCCCCAGATGGGATGGTTTATAATAATACCATGGAAGTCCTCGAGCCGTTGCGGCTCCCGTTGGGTCAACGTGGAAGCAAATTTGGAACCCGGCAAATGTCCCCGTGGCGTTCGCGCCCGGAGGCCCCACCCGGAGCTTCCCCTGTTGGGTCGAAGTCCTCGAGCCGTTGCGTCTCCCGTTGGGTCAACGTGGAACCTAACTTGGAGCCTTTGGTGCCCGGAGGTTCTGGCCGGAGGTCCTCCCAACGGGAAGGCTACAATTCAATGAGAAACTGAAAAATGTTACGTTTATTGTGGGTAAATGGGAAAAAGTATCTGTATAACATATCAAAAATTGAAAATGAATAAATAGTTTGAATATATGTTTTTGTTTACTCTTAATGTTTTGAATATGTTTTCGATGTGTTTGTAAGATGTGTTGAGGATTTTTTTTTCCGTGTGTGTGTGTGTTTTTGAACATGTACAGTATGTGTTTATATTTGTCTTCAGAATTTGTACTTTGGAATTTATCTTGGACAAAATGACTCATTGAGTCAAAAGAGCTATTATGTAGCATCTTACATCCATCAACCACCACAAAGAGCATAATGGTTCCGAATTCCTCGTGTCAGCCGCCATGGCTAACATGGAACTTTTGGATGAGCACTCTCTGGCAGCTTGTGGGGTTGTATGTTAGTATGCCATGCAGCCAAAAATTGTGCAAACATGTCCAAATTCACTAGCATCAACATGGCACCACCTACCTGGCACTTATCCCGCTCATGAATTTTAACATGGGTGCGCTAACATGGAAACCATTTTTTTTATTTATTTTTTGCCCAACGTTAGTTTTCGGGAGAGTATATATTATATATATACACATAGACGCACTTATGCCAACATGATATACATATGAAAGTATATATTTTAAAAGAGATACGATGCACATGTTTACATGCATATCTATCTACCTACCTACCTACCGACCTACCTACCTACATAGATAATACCTAAACCATGCCTAGATAATGCCTAGAGAATGCCTACAGACAGACCGACCGCCCGACAGACCGACAGACCGAGAAACCGACGGACGGACAGACAGACAGACAGACGTACAGAAGTACAGACGTACATAAATGCATCATCACCCACGAATCATGCATCATGCACCCATCCATGCATGCATCCATCCATACACACATCTACCTACCTACCTACCTACATAGGTATGTACATAGGTATGTACATACATATGTACATACATATGTACATGCATGTGTACATACATATGTACATACATACATACATGCATACATACAAAGTTACATACATACATGCATGCATGCATACATACATACATACATACATACATGAGTCCCTAGAAAATAATACCCACATACATACCGTTTATACCTACCTACCTTGACAATGTTTTCCGACATACATACGTACGTACACAAATAGGTACGTACGTACGTACGTATGTACATACGTACAGAAGTACAGACGTACATCTGTACAATTGTCTGTACAAACAAACATACATATACACATGCCTGTGTACACATACATACCTACCTACCTCATCCTACCTCACCCTACCTCATCCTATCTCATTCTACCTCCAGGCATGCATGCTTGCATACATACATACATGCATACATTTGACATACATTTGACATACATTTGACATACTTTTGACATACATTAGACATACATTAGACATACATTAGACATACATTTGACATACATTAGACATACATTTGACATACATTAGACATACATTAGACACATATTAGACATACATTAGACATACATTAGACATACATTAGACATACAGTAGACATACATTAGACATACATTAGACATACATTAGACATACAATAGACATACATTAGACATACATTAGACATACATACATACATGCATACATACACACATGCATACTTACATACATACATACATACATACACACATACATACATGCATGCATGCATGCATGCATACATACATACATACATACATACATACATACATACATACGTACACACGTACACACGTACACACATGCATACATACGTGCATGCATGCATGCATACATAATCATACATAATCATACACAATCATACATAATCATACATAATTATACATAATCATACATAATCACACATAATCATACATAATCATAAGTAATCATACATAATCATACATAATCATACATAATCATACATAATCATACATAGATACATACATAGATACATACATAGATACATACATAGATACATACATAGATACATACATAGATACATGCATAAATACATACATAGATACATACAGAGGTACTTACATAATCGCATAGATACATACATAGATACATGCATAGATGCATGCATAGATACATGCATAGATAAATGCGTAGATGTATACATAGATGCATAGGTACATGCATAGATACATGCATAGATACATACATAGTTCCTACACAGATACATGCATAGATACATACATAGATACATACATAGATGCATGAATAAATACAGACATAGATACATACATAAATACATACACAGATAGATACATAGGTACATACATAAATACATAGATACACAGATACATAGATACATAGAAACATGGATACAGGGTTACATAGAAACATGGATACAGGGTTACATAGATACATGGATACACAGATACATAGATACATCGATACATGGATACATAAATACATCGATACATGGATACATGGATACATGGATACATAGATACATAGATACAACAATGCATGATACAGATACAGAGATACATAGATACATAGATACATAGATGCATAGATACATAGATACATAGATACATAGATAGATAGATAGATAGATAGATAGAAAGATAGAAAGGTAGATAGATACATGGATACATAGATACATAGGTACATAGATAGATACATAGATACATAGATACATGAATACATAGATACATAGACAGATAGATAGCTAGATACATAGATACATAATACATACATGCATGCATGCATGCATGCATGCATGCATGCATAAGCACATACATACAAACATACGTACATACATACATACTTTCTTACTTTCTTCCTTACCTACCTACAGAATACCTACATGCAAACAAAGAGACTGTATTTGTTTACTTTCTTACCTACCTACTTACCTACTTACCTACTTGCTTGCTTACTTACTTAACTATTTACTTACTGACTGACTGACTGACTGACTGACTTACTTGCCTGCCTGCCTCCCTGCCTACCTACCTACCTACCTACGTACCTACGTACCTACGTACCTACGTACCTACATACCTACGTACCTACCTACCTACCTACCTACCTACTTACCTACCTACCTACCTACCTACCTACCTACCTACCTACCTAGGTACGTACATACATGGATACATGGATACATGGATACATGGATACATGGATACATGGATACATGGACACATACAAAAAAATACAAAAATCATTTTTTCTGCACCGCAATCAGCCATACAAACAAACAAACAAACCATGTTTGCATATGCGTGTATAAGAATATACAAACATAGACGCATACAAAAATGCAGGTCGTTCATTAGTTACATTAGAGACAATGCAAATACATGTACATGTACGGTGCACCTCTACGAACATGGGAAACTATGGATTAATCAAAGCAAATCCGATACTTTCCATCCTTTTTGCATGGGGGCTTTCCATTAGGGTATTCACCAAGCAACTTTGTGCGGGTTATTCTGAACGTCGGATATCCATGGATATCTCGATTCCAAGGGCTGTCTGAATTTTTAGTATTCACAAGATTGGGGCATACCATCCAGAATCAAACTTGGCAATGGACAATTCCCCATGGATGATTTTCCCATGACCTCCATGGCTCGTTCGGGTTTCCCATTTTTTGGATCGCTTTGTCTTCCTGGGAGGCCCCCGTGGGCTTCTTTGATCCCTTTGGCATGACCAAGGCTGAGACGACCAGAGGGATTATTTGCCGTCAAAGTTCAACTCTTGCTGATTTCTTCAGTTTCTTCATTTTTCGCCCGTGAAACCATTGCGAAATCACCACCTTTGGCAGGATGGCGATCTGGAGGCCTTCAAGCGTCGCCGTGCGACCGAGTTGAAGAATGGCCAGCGGCCTAGGGAAACCACACGATTTTTGAGTTTGTACTAATTTGGAAATCACACTGTATTTTTGGAAAATCAGGCTTGAAACCATGGAAACCTTGGGAGCTCAACTCAGGCACAGTACACCATTCCATGGTTTCAAACCAGATTTTCCACATCCCCAATTTTTTGATGGCCATTAATTGGGGGGTATACCCCATTTCTGAACGCACCCTGTTGACTTTTTGTTTTTATGCAACAAAATCGGGGAGTCAAGCAGCCAACGAAGGGATTTCACCAGGAGAAAAACATTTGATTTTGGAAATTTTGACGGCTTCCACCAATTAGAATGGCATGCAAGCTGTGTCAGATCTTTTAATGGCGAATGGGCAAGTCAAAACACAAGGACAGATTCCACAAAGTGGATGTCTCAGATGATTTTGCCACCAAAACTGGCCATTCTTGCTAACAAAACAGTTTCACCTGTTTTTCTGTGTCTATTTCTTTGACATCTGATAAATCACCAAGGATGGTTGATATACACTACCCATCTCTGGCAGATTTGGGGATGAATTTTCTGAGGTCGGGTGGCCATGTTGGCAACCATGGGATACATCGTCCCAGAATACTTTCGCTTTCCAGGCCGTGACATGTCGGGAGAGGTACGAAACTCTAGAAATTCAAAATGTTCAAAGACCTTTTACTACATAACATGCCATAGATTTGTATGCTCTATGGGCCCTACTCGTGTGCAATTTCTTGCAGAGAAGTGACACAATGGTAACAATCGACAATTTTCTTCAACACCCCTCCGGTGGCTTTCGGAGATCAAGCGAGCACCTGGTTGGTGTTACATACTTTTCTTCAACATCCCTAGGATGACCATGATTTTGGGGCCAGATCTCGATATGGTGGTGATAACTCATTAATACCTCCTGTGAAATTGGTCGAGTCATATCCATTTTCATCCATTTTCATATTGGTTTGTGCAACAATAGGGTAGCCCTAAATCCATGGGTTATATAGTTATCACTTTTTACATTCAGATTGCCATATTAGCCATAATTTATGGGGTCACACCCCAATTTAGCCAGACAAACAAATATCAAACTGTTGGTTTATATCCAATGAATATCTCATTAATTATGACTATTTTCCCCCAAAGAAATAGTGCCATGACTTGGGTGTAGATCCCCAAAAGCTGCCACGGTCGCCACGGTGTCAGGATACTGCTCTCCATCGGAGGGTGTGAAGTTTGCGGATATTCCCAATGGCTTGGCTGCCTTGAGCAAGGCCGGGGTGTTTTACACAGTGGCTGTGACTCAGCGGTGAGCCCATTATGAGCGCTTGACGTATGGGACCGGGATTTTGAGAATGGCAAACCATCCAGTTTTTGGAAGACAATCATTTCGAGCCAGAGCCAGCTATGTTGGCTTCGGAAAATCGTGGAAATGCCTTCGGAAAAAAAGACTCTGGAGGTATGAAGAGTGGGTATGTAAACAACAGCTTGGAGATGAACATCCAACCAGCAATCCGCAAAATGAAGTGACGCATGATCAGCAGATAGGAAAGGGATGATTGGGAAACTTAAATGCATTAAATGCACAGCCAGGGAGGTGTCCGTACATATTTCCGAGGCAGCAGCACAAATGGTGGATGACCTGGGTGTTGAAATCAGAGACACCCGTCACGGGGTGTTTTTGGATCCCCAAATTTAATACATTCACGCGCAGACACCGTTGTTTGCGAATATAGATAAGATACTGTGGTGTCTGCGCGCGTATGTAAATATTTGTATATATGGACATGTTCTCCTATATCCACATGTGGTAGGATGTGCAGCTGTCGAGGACACTAAAGGGGATCTGCACATGGGCACCATGACACTTGTTACTGTTACGATGATAAACTTCTTGCAATCCTTGAACATATATCTGCTTCTCACCATTTAGGGTGTGGAGAGTTCGGCGGGATGATGGCGATGATGGACGATCACGATGACTATGACGATGACGGAGATGGTGGTGATGATGATGTTAATGTTGATGAGGACGATGATGATGATGATGATGATGATGATGATGATGATGACGATGACGATGATGCTCCTGTTGATGACGATGACGATGACGATGACGATGATGATGATGATGATGATGACGATGGCGATGGTGACGGTGAGAATGATGATGATGATGATGATGAGGAGGACGACGACGATGATGATGATGATGATAAGGGCGAGGGCGACGGTGACGGTGAAGCAGAAGAATAATAAGAATAAGAAGAAGGAGAAGATAAATAATAAGATTATGATGATAACGATTTTGATTATGTTGTTGTTGTTGATGATGATGATGATGATGATGATGACGATGACGGTGAGGGTGATGGTGATGTTGATGATGGTGCTGATGATGACGATGGCGACGACGATGGTGATGATGATGAGGATGATGATGATGATGATGATGATGACGATGACGATGATGATGATGATGACGGCGAGGACGATGGTGATGATGATGAGGATGATGATGATGATGATGATGCTGGTGATGGTGATGGTGATGGTGATGGTGATGGTGACATTGACATTGACGGTGAGGATGAGGATTATGATGATGATTATTATTGTTATTATTTTTATTTTGATTTTGATCATGATGATGATGATGATGATGATGAGGATGAGAGGGAAACCACTTCGGACACGGGCAAAAGATGGCGTCTGGCCGTACATGTATTAGACGATCATTAAATATTGGTTCCTCCAGAACTGGGGTATATATCCCAAAAAATCATCAAATAACGGGTAGCGTGATCTTCTAAACCATCGGATTTTGTTGGGTTTCCTTTCATTTCCCTCACACACAGATGAAATAAAAAACAGATAGCATTATTTCATCCTGATGTTTTTCCCACCTTTTTGATCCCTTTTGATTCTTCATTTTTAAAACCCGATTTACCATGATTTTTCGTCACTTTTAAACCCGACGTCCAGGTCCCTGCGGCGGGCTGGACCCAGTGGATCCTCTTCCTGGGCCTCATCGAAAAGGGCATCTACACCTACGACCCCACCAGGGCCCCAGGGGACTACAAAAACGCGGGGGTGCTGGGGGTGCCCAACGGCAGCACCATGAGACCTGGATCGAAGATCTTGAAGACGTGTGTTTTCTGTTTTTTGAACAGATTAATTTCATAGTTTTTTTCTTGAATTGATGCACATTTGTTTGCTGATATTTTTTTGATTGTCCATATTTTTTGGTGAAATCATCCGCTGTTGATCCATTATTTGTGGAAATAAACCACCAGCCGGTCATGCAAACGTTTTCTGTCCGAAGAGTTGATGCAGCATCTCGGAAAACAGTTGCCTTCTTTGTTTTCCATATGGGGGGTTTTCATAAATGGTGGTACCCCAAAATGGATGTTTTGACAATTTATAATGGAAACTCCTATGAAAATAGATGATTTGGGGGTACCAACATTTTAGGCCTGAATATACGTTCCATGTTGGGGCCCTTTTTCCAAGGACACCTGGTGAGGGCCGCAACCGCAAGCTGAACTCGGAGTTGGCCAATGGCCGACTGGTGCCTTGGTCCATGGATGTTCCAAGGGCTTTGCAGCTTTTGGGGGTTTCCTAAAATGGTGATACCCGTATTTTAGGACACCTCCATTTGGCAAGGAACAAGGCTGATGTTTTCTTCTTTTTCGGATTTTGGATGGATATTTTGGATGTTTTTGTTGGATCCTTTCGGTTTTTTTTGGATTGGATAGCAGGTTCCTCGCAAATTCATGTCCCCACTTGGTTGGTTACATGTTCCCTCCAGGACGTTTAATATTCCCAGTTTGCTTGTTTTGGTATGATCTGAACCCCCCCCTATCCAGTGGTTTAAGACCTTAGTTATGCTATTAGAAGGGACAGAAGTTGGGGTCCTCCACCCTCAGCTTAAGTCCGTTGTGAACCATTCACACTTGGGGTTGGCACCATTCATGTCATAGATGGTGGCCATTATGAGTACTGCAACCCTATGCCAACTCCATGTTTTTCTCAATCCCCCCATTTGGTGGGTTTCCATTTTCTATTTTGCTGGTGGCGATTCCATTTTTGATGAATTGATTTGAGGGAGAATCGGGAGAATCTACAGAACTACGCATTTACCATCATTTCTTTAGGGGTTTCGTGGAACATTTCCCACAAACCCATATGCCGCAAAATGTTCTTCGTGACACTTCCCCTGGGCATGGTCATATTGCATTTTGTTCGGTGATGTGCCCAGCTTGTTCGGCACCTCTCCCAAAGTTTCGCAACCATCCATTTTGAGGGTCCAATGATGACCCAATAAGCATCACTTACCATTTCTGGTGCACCGATTTGCTGCATGAATCAATCCATTGAATATTCTTATGATGGCCAGGAACTATAAAAACCACAGTCCACGATATACCCCCCAAAAGACACCTTTCTATCATTTTTTTGAGGTTGCTATCTATCTCTATGTGAATATATTGTATATTATTATGTATATATTATATTATGTTATATTATATTATATTATATTATATTATATTATATTATATTATACTATATATTATATTATACTATATATTATATTATATTATATTATATTATATTATATATTATATTATATTATATATTATATTATATTATATTATATTATATTATATATTATATGTATATATATAATATGTATATTATACATAATGATATATATATATATTACTTTATTAATTATATTATATATATTATATATTATATTATATATAATGATATATATTATCTTATATTATATTATACTATATTATATATATATATATTATTATATATTATTATATTGTATTATATTATATGATATTATATTATATGATATGATATTATATTATAATATATTATATTATATTATATTGTATAATATTATGTCATGTTATATTATATTATATTATATTTTATTTTATTATATTATATTATATAATATATATATTATTATATTGTATTATATTATATTTTATCATATTATATTATAATAAATTATATTATATTATATTATAATAAATTATATATATATTTTTTTTTTTTATATTATATAATATTTTTTTAATATATTATATTATATTATATGATATTATATTCTATTTATATTTATATTATACTATACTATATTATATTATATTATATTCTATTATATTAAATTTTATTATATTATATTATATATATTATTATATTGTATTATATTATATTATATTATAACATATTATATTATATTATAATATATTATATTATATTATATTGTATTATATTATGTTATATATACAGTATATATATACACATTAAACAATAAGTCGCCCTGTGAAATCTCCGGCACCTGGTCAGGCCATGATGGCCATCATCGGCATGTTCTTCCAAGCGCTTTGATGAAAGATCCGAAAGATGGGAGGATTTCATCAGTTTGGGGATGGCTTTCAACATGGGAAAACCATGGGTTTATCATCTGGAGAAATCAAATACCATCCCCAAACTTATGGTTATAGTTGGAATCTAAACGTCCAACAACCATCATCAAATACTTTCCAATTTTTCGATTTTTTTGAAAGTTGTTTTTTCTCCAGAAACCATGATGCATTTCACATGAAAGGATTGCCAATTGTCCGACTGAGCCGTACTTCATGATTATGGAACATCCTAACCTGGGAGCATCAATAGCAGAGCATTCGACTTACCGTGACATTGCCCTTTTTCTAACAGAAAACATCCAAAACATCCCAAAACCACTGGGTACCATGGTTCCTTCATGTTCCTTCAATCCACAGGTCAAGTCGCCTTGGGATACCTGACGCCTGGCTGAGGATGGCCTGACGGGCAGTGCCTGGGGAGACTGGGCGCAGTATACCGAGTCTCCCCTGCGCGCCTTTGAGAATGAGCTGGGCGTGCAGGCGCTTTGCGAAAGTTTGGAGGATGTTGCTTCCATTTTTTCCCCTGCCAGGTGAGGGTCGCTAGATTTTAACAAAGGTGCAAGTCTTCTTCCTCCTCCTACTTTTCCATCCTCCTTCTTGTCCTCATCTCCGCCTTCTTTCTGCCTTGTCTTGCTGCCAGCTCGTCGTGACTGGGGGATATGTATATAGTGAGCTCAGGATGCAGTGGAGGGCGCCTGGACCCAAACATATACCCGAGAGAATGTCAGATAGAATGCCAGACAGAATGTCAGAAAAATGTCACATAGAATGCTAGATAGAATGTCAGAACATATGTCAGATAGAATGTCAGAACAGATGCCAGATAGAATGCCAGACTAGATGCCAGTTAGAATGTCAGAATGAATGCCTGAGTAGATGCTAGATAGAATGCCAGAAAGAATGTAAGAATAGATGCCAGCTAGAATGTCAGAAAGAATGTCAGAATAGATACCAGCAAGTATGTCAGATAGACTATCAGAGTATCTGCGGGAAAGAATGTCAGATAGAATGTCAGAGTATATGCAAGAAAGCATGTCAGATAGAATGTCAGACTAGATATATGCCATATATACTTTAGATGATATGTCAGAAACTATGCTAGAATAATTTGTCAGGGTAGGGATCACTCAAAGCAACATAGTTGTTTTAATTGTTTTTTTTTCTTTTTTTCGTAAGGCGGTAGTAACATCTGATCTACTTCCACATTAAATTCTGTGGTGGAAACACAGAGAGATAAATTGCAGATATAATTACATTGGAGATATATTGGACCACGATAAGAAGGGTTGTAGGGCTGGTGAGCCACCTTGTAAATGAATGTTTACACTTGTGGTACAGGTAGGTGATGGTAGGTGACATTTTCTTGTGCTATTGTTTCTTTGGAATTTCATGAGGACACATTGAGTTGTCCCGCCAGTGACCGCCAGGATCCAAACATTTCTTTAATATTGCCGCAGATTGACCTTCACTATCCACTGGCATGGTGGGCGAGGCAATAACCAAACGGATATAATACAGTATGCCTATATGTATATATTCTACACATAGAGGCACTGAAATGTAATGTAATGTAATGTAATTTAATGTAATGCAATTTAATTTTATGTAATGTAATTTTATGTAATGTAATGTTATGTAATGTCATGTAATGTTATGTAATGTTGTGTATGCATGCATGGATGGAGGTAGGTAGGTAGGTAGGTAGGTAGGTAGGTAGGTAGGTAGGTAGGTAGGTAGGTAGGTAGCTATATGTACATATATATATATATATACACACACAGATACACGCCCCCAACACTTGCGGGTACAACAAACATATCCTAAGCTAACAGCGGCTTACAAGGCTCTCAGTTTCGACTGTTTTGCGCTGATTCCAGGCGCCGGTGGGCTACTTTGATCCAATGGGCATGTCCAAGGACGGCGATTTCTCGCTAAAATCGACGATAAACTGATGAACTCTGAACATCTCTGAACTATCTTTCACTAGATCAATAACATACCATGGAATAGTGGGGTGATTAGCTGGAAACCCTACCGATCCAAAGCCTCACCGATCCATGGTATGAAATTTATCTGGTGAATCTTTTACAGGAACATGTATTTCAGCTGGAAAGCACTTGGCCAAGTATTTCACCCAGTTGGACCGTTGAGTTCCATGAAAATTCTCCGACCAATAAAATAAGCGTTGTGTTGATGGTGAAGCATGGCCCCAACTCACCTGCGGTCACAGGAGTTGGTTTTCTTGGTGAAGTCTCTAGTTTTGTTGTTTTTTTTGGTAGAATCATTAGTTTTGCTGGTTCCAGTGTTGTTTAGCTTCATATTTTTCAGGTAGATTCCAGAGGCTTCGTTTTTCTAAAATCCGTCTCCATATTAACTCCATTTCTGTTCATGAAATTCGCGGGTGAACTCACCAGAGCTTCCCCTATTTTGGCCCGGCACTACCCAGGGATCATATCTACATGGATCATTCGACCATTTTGTAATTAACCTTGGTTTTTTGAAGTCCCATGGAAAAAGGGGTTCACCCATTTTAAAGTGGATCATCATCATAAAATGACTAATGAAATAAAATCCATACCAAGTATATTAAGTATATGGATAAGATTCGATAAAGTGTCTTTGAAAATAGTTCACCCATGAAAACTAAGCACTTACACCATTTTTCATACAGGAGTTGAAAGTATGGGATGGCTATCCCCAACGAACGTTTTTTGGATGGATGTATTCCAGATCCTCGTGAGTCGAACAGTATCCTCATACCAAAAGAAACCATACGTAGCGTCCATGAATCAAAAGTGGCAATGGAAAATAAATCCCCAAACTAAATGTATATTTATATAAATGGGAAAGTCATATGTATATATATATATATATATTAAATTATATAAATAAATAAAGTGTTTTTTTTTAGCCATGTTTGAGTACTAGTTACTAGATCCCCAAACGAAATGGATATTTCAAACGCTGGGACCTTCACCGGGCCCCGGGCATCCAGGACGGCGACTTGAAGACCTTCCGCCGGCGCCGCGAGGCCGAACTGAAGAATGGCCGGGTGGCGATGTTCGCCACCATGGGTTGCAGCTTGGCGCGTTCCGGCGCAACGGCGCATGCTGGTGGATGCTGGTGGATGGATTCAACTGATTCTTAAGCAACAATCATAGGGGTTTTGCACCAAACATCACCAAACCACCAAAGACTTGGGATATCTTGGGATTTATTGAAGTGATTTGACAATTTGACATCTCCAAGCATGGTGAATTTCCATGGGGATTCAATGGAAACACCCAGTTCACGTTCGGGGACCGCTAATCCCAGGTCAAAGATTCGACTAATTTCGGGGTGGAAAGTTCATCCATGAATTTAACCTGGTCATGAAGCTTCGGAAATATCTAAAAATCAATAGAAGTGATTTTCAAGAATTCAATACAGAAGGAATCCTTCCCACCCGTGTCTCCCTTCACGCCCAGTCATCCTGCCAGAGTACTTCCGCTTCCCTGGCTATTTGTCGCGGGGGCCTTAAAGGGTTTGTGGCAGAATGTGCAGAGGAAAACCCAGTTGGGTTCAGTGCGTCCTGTTTGGCCCGTTTTCGCGGCCACTGTGTTGTGGTGAAATTTAGAGTCCCCAAGTCTGAAAAACCATATTGCTAATATTGCTTCAAAAGAATTTTGATAGTGTAAGCGAGGCTGGAATGATGTTGGGATGTGAGTTCACAGAGTTTTCTCATATTTTTCAATGTTCAACCACCAAAAATGGGGATCAGATTCCCCAAGTTTGATTCAACATGGCCCGATGGTGAACCTTACGCCCCCCGGTGACGCCGGCACCGCACTTGCGCGCGAGGCCTGCGAAAGACATCAAGTTTGCGGATGTTCCCAATGGCCTCGCAGCCTTGGGGAAGGCGGGGCGTTGATTTTTTTCCGATGGGGATGAGCTTTCTGAAGGCTTTAAGGATTGGGATGTGCCCAGGCTGTTAAGGGTTAGGATTTGTTAACCTCAAAGATCCACGAATGATACAAATGTTAGGGGTTATCATTGAGATGAGGATGAGGTCTGTGAGAAGCGCTTATTGGATCGGGATTCAAGCAATGAGAAGGCAAGATTATTAAGATTATGTAACAATGTATATACTCTAATTGATATTATACATTTATATATATATATATAGATATGCAAAACCCATGGATTCCTATGAGGAAATCAACTTAAAATCGATGGAATTTCCACATCTCTTGGACCATCGCTGTTCATGAGAAAGGACCCATTTTGGTTGGTTTGTACATGGAAAAAGCTCAGAATTTTTCATTGCACCACTTGTCTCCCCCAAAACCATCGGCGTTTGGTTGGCTCCTCTCCCAAGTTTGGCCAGTTCCTCCTCCCAAATTCTAACAAGCGGGTTTTGCGTTAGTTGGGAGGCCCTCTGGTTCTCAGTTCCAGGCCCAAGTTTGTTTGGTGCTTAACCACACACACATACACACACATACACACACACACATACACACACACACATACATATATATATATATATATATATAATGGCTCATATTAAACAGCCCCCCGGTTCCCCATGGTTTTTGATGCTCCTGCGTGGCAGGTGCCGCTGACGGGCTGGATCCAAATCCTGATCTTCTGCGGTATGGTGGACTTCGGTCTCTACAGGGCTGATGAGTCTCGTGATCCTGGTGACTATGAGATCCTTGGCAGATGACCACTGAATTGAGGACGAAAAATGTGTGGGAAGTCAATTGGGGAATCCGCAAGGCTTGGTTAACCCTTGATTAGATAGACGAATTTGTTCATTTTTAGGTCTGTGTGGGATGAATTCGCATGAATTCCCAATGCGTTTGGTGTGACTATTAGTGGTTTGCCTGCTTTGCATGGTTATCGTCTTTTTGCTTCATGCCGTTTTGACCCCCATTTTCCCCTAAAGACAACAACTTGGGGCCTGAAAACAGAAGTTGATGAACCTCAACAAATTCCGTGGTAAACCCCAAGCACCATACCTGCCATACCTCATCCCATATTCCACCGGGGGCCGCCTTCGTCTTCACTGGTCAGGAACGCCGGTATTTTGGGAGTGCCCAACGCCAGCGGCCCCATGAGCGACGTGGAGGGACGCAAGAGGAAGTTGAACTCCGAACTGGCGAACGGCCGCCTGGCAATGGTCCGCAGCCCAGTTTGGCGTGGATGTTTGGTATGTTTGGTGCATGGGGGAAGCCTGTGGAAGCCTGGGGGGGGATATCATGGATATCATAGGGTTAACTGGGTTAACCAACAACAAATGGAAGTTACATTGGGATGAATCTTGATAGATCATGGTGACACTCAACCATGAATATTCTGAATAGATTAATATCAAGCATGGCTGGGAAGTCACCGCACTACAGTAAATGGAGGTTTACTTTGGGAAAATCATTGAACTAAATGGAGGATTTTCCAGCAAGCCTTTTGTTGGATGATCATGGGCGGAACTTTTGAGGGGTGAATGACCTGGGTCCCCTGAGAGCAGATTTGGTGGAGTGCCCGTCTTCAAATTTGATTTAAGGTCAACTCGGATTCAGAAACCTTGGGTTGACTGGGGTTCCACTGGGGTTCACAAAAAGTGGATGACTTCGTGTTTTTAGATGGTACCTCCCCAATCCCCAATGAAACCATTCAAGGGTTACCCGGTTACCTCTTAGATGTTTGGAGGGAAAATCAATGAAAATCATGGCCCTGGCCTCCGAAGGTGGCAATTACTGGCATGCTCTTCCAGAATGGATCCTTGGCGCCACGGTTTCCGTTGGGGGACCCCACGGAAAATCCCCCACTGATCCTGGCAGCCTGGCATGGCCGAGGAATGTTTGGCACCACTGGTCCTGCCATGTGGGGCTTTGGCTCCTAAGCACGCCAGGCAGGTGGCTAACATGCATGGCTAAGAAGCCTTGATTTGCCATTTTCCCCTCAAGTTCTATGTGAGATGGAGCACCAACAAAAATTGCATCCTTGGTAATCTGCAGCAAGCTGACAGTGGAGAATTCCTCTCAGAATATGATTTGAAAGATGCATTTCTGGTATCAAACACATTTTTTCTTTATTTTTCAGCTAGCCAGGTAAACGAATCCAGAGCTCTGCTCTTGGATCAAAGATCACCACACTACCAAACTCTATGTGTGGCCTGATTGTGAGCTACTGGTTCCAAGCTTCCCAAGTCCCATCAAAACCAGATGAACTATATATATATATATATTTTGACGGTTTATAGCTCCCCTGTATGGTAATATTGGGGATGGTTTATTCTTGCGTTACCACCATTATATAGATGAACTGTGTTTTTATTGATGCTATCTTCATCCATCTCTCTCTCTCTCTATACTATAGATACCCTCCAGTAGCCAACAGTGCCAATTGAACATCCACGATTTATTTTGACGATTTTCACAACTGTAAACTTTCATTTTTGGGGATTCGCAGGCAGCCACGTTTGATTACTACAACAGATCTTTTTCAGATATGGTTGTGGGTCAAAATCTATTGGTACCATTCTGGGAATGGTGACCATTTTTCCCCAACCATGTTGGTAGATAATGCTGGTTCATTGGAGTTTTGATGGGTTTTGACTACCCTCAGGCATCGCGGAAGCTGCAAGGGTTACCAGCCTGGTGGAAAATGTCGCGGTGCCGCGATGTTTTTTCATGGAGGGTCTCCAGGTGTCGGGGATGATTTTTTTTATCCCTGTCGGTTGATGAGGCTTTAAGCCATGAGATATATTAGGGTGGTCCCTGGTGGTCCCATATATTGAGAGAAGAAACTTTGCCCGGCATTTGAGCAAAAACTGACTCAAACTGTTTGGTCATCATTTGCCGGATGATCATATATGATCATTGTGTCCGTCCTGTTACATTTCCATTGAACGAATCCACTGATTGCTCGGCCCTGACACATTCTGGTTTGGTGATTTTCTCAGGGCCTTGAAGCATTCCATTCTTTGGCTTCGGAAGCCATGACTGGATCTATATATTAATTGTTTAGAAGGACCCCATTCAGAATTGGGCGTCCACGCTTAAATCCATTCTCCAGGATGAGCGTTACAAAGGAATTGCAAGCGCATTTGAAATAGCAATTGCTGTGACCACATGAAAATGTGACCACATGAAAGTTGGGCAATAACATTGTGGAATGACAGTTCCTCATCATCCAGAAGTCCTCCACATGTAATGCACTTTGAAAAAGCACTTTGCTACGATTTGACCCTTCCTTCCCTAGATGATCCCAGTTCAAAGATTGTTGAAACTGGTAAAGGCCCCACCTAAAATGGGTAGACTGCCATTCCAAGATTCTAAAGGTGTGAAAACCAGAGAACTCTTGAGATGTGCAGCACCCACAGTCATTCAGCGGAGATAAGAGTTTTTGATCCAATCACGTGTGCTGAATTTGGGAGGCAATGAAGCACAAGATCAGTGGAATCTGACAGTGAAAATCAGGAGGTTCGAGGGCAAACAAATCCTAAAGATGCTCCATGCCTCTTGCACTCAAGGATCCAAATTTCCATGACTCCCCGCAGCATTGTGCTCAGACGTTCTTGTCATCGGTGGCATCCCAAGCCTTTTCCCTGTTCGCGCAATTTCCCGTGCAAACACAACTCGGGCAGTCGGCGATGTTTTTCGATGAGGAGCTTATGTTCGGGTCAGATGGAAGCGTTTCGGGGGACAACGACGAATCCAGTGATGTGGAGTGCCTCTGCCGTGGTGTGGTCGCTGGTGGGTTCCGATGGTGATGGTCTCACGACAATGTGATAGAGCTGAATTTTCGGTACAATATGACGGAATCAGCATGATTTTGGTTGGGTGTTGGGTCCTTGGATACCCCAAGGGTGACTCATGCAACTTCGACCCATCTCTTTTCCCAGAAAAGATCTACCGGATTCTACTAGCCAAAATGAGGAGATTTAGATAGCTCCGAGTATCTCTGTCAAATCCTGCGGACGAGGTTGTCGGAAGAGGAACCCGTGGCGGAGGCGGCTGCCCGTCAGGACTTGAGCACACTGAAGGTGGGACCGGGAGACCAGATCCGAGTTTTGGTTCATGGATTCATGGAATGAACTTGGGAATGGCTTGAATGAAACATGTTTCAGCACCTCAAGAATGGATGGGTTGATGTTTTCAATGTCCTGGCTTGTGGCTTCTGTTGGTATTTTTTTTTAGCCGTACGCGAATATCTCCCTTTTCTTTTTTCGCCGGGAATCTACAGAGGACCACACGGTGGCCATGGAACCTTCACGGAACAGAGGGTGATTCAGAAATATCATCGAAGCGAGAAGATGATAGTGACTGATAGTTGATACATTCCAGAGCTTTCAGGATCTTTCAGGCAAGTCCCGTAAACCTTACGACAGGCGGTGTAAAATCAGCAGCCAATTGTGCAGATCCGGATCTGCAGATTGATGACCCGCCAAACCATCCGCAACCACCACCAGGAACACCAACAACTACGTATAGCAATGGAAGGACAAGGTATTTTTCCTTCTATTGGACGTTTTTTTTGTCCGCTTCCATGACAGGTGTATGCTAGGTATGATTTTTTGACGCTAGGAATGGAACAAGGAGATCAGTATGCCTCGGACCGGGGACCAAAAATCAAAGATTTGAGGATGAGGCATGGGTTTTGTTGCATCTCTTACAGAGTTGCTGTAGATACAACTTTGAATTTGTGGAATGTGAATGTGAGCCCTAGTCCTTTTATTGAATTCTATTGAGGATCCGCAAGTGTGTGCCCATTTCAGTTCGAATTCTAGCAAAAAAATACGACAAACAAATCCAATCCATAAGCGCAAATGAATGATTCAACTTGGGCTCTTCCCACCAAATCTTCATCGAAATCATCTTGGATCGCCAGGGCGTCTCCAATCTGAGTCTCCGCAAGCACAAAGCGGCAGAGGTGCGGTGCTGGAGAGACTAGCGAGGTTGGTAATCCAACTTGTCAGGGATTCGATGGGTCATATGGGTCAAAATGATGTTTCAACCAAAGAATTTTTCCACAAACAGTGTGCTGTTAGGGGTTCTTAATGCTTTCTTAAGGTGTCCAGCTTGGTGTTGGATGGTGTGTCCGCCTTCCCGAAGTCTTGTCTCCCCTTGTCTCCCATTGTCTCGCCCCACATGCGTGCCTGTGTTGGATGGTGTGTCCGCCTTCCCGAGGTCTTGTCTCCCCTTGTCTCCCATTGTCTCCCCACATGTGTGCCTGTGTTGGATGGTGTGTCCCCCTTCCCGAGGTCTTGTCCCCCCTTGTCTCCCATTGTCTCCTCACATGTGTGCCTGTGTTGGATGGTGTGTCCGCCCTTGTCTTCCCTTGTCTCCCTTCTTGCTTCCCTTTGTTGGATGGTGTGTCTTCCCGATGCCTTGTCTC